TCTCCACCCAAAAAAAAAAAGACCCCCCACCCAAACCACTACAATTTTGGGCTGCATCTAGTAGCATGACGTTTATAAGGAATAAAGATTTCTGCTTCTGGTGCTTTTGTGCGTGCGGGGGTCATGTTATCGCTATGCAGTATCTAGTTTTATATACTATACTGTATATGGTGACAAATAAATGTTTGGGTAATTTTTCAAAAGAACAAACATTCAGTTACAAGTCTTTTCAGTCAGTAAGAAAAAATAATTAACTTTTGGATGTAAAAACTTTTTTTTAACATTTATTAATGGTACCATCGTGATCTGTCCTGTACAGAATGAAAAAATTCAAAATTATTTCTTTACTAAAATCTCTGTAATTTTGCTCCAGTTAATTTCAGCAGCATGAATCTTTGCACAGTTAATGTCCGCAAGAGGATTTGTGGTTTCCACAAGTTTTTAGCCTACTTCTTTATGGATTCAAATAGGTTATATACTGTCTAATGAAAAAAAAAATCAGGTGAGAGTAAAAAAAAAATTATTATGTTCCATCTCCAATATCTCTAAAACCACAGCAAATGTTTTAATGCTTACACTTCTGACGAAATCTCCCACGTGTTAGCTTTATTTTGATACCAAATTTATTTAAGTAGAGTTTGTAAATGCTGAGATACACTCAGTTACATTTTGGCATGGTATTTTGAGAAAAAATTTCAAGAAAACTGTGCTGTTATTGTGATTAAAAAACGACCAGTTGTTCATGAGATTTGTTGCCTTCATACACATGAACAAACGCAGACAAATGATGCGTGTGTGTGTGTGTGCGTGCATGGACCTGTGTACGATGCCGTGCTTGTGCAGGTGCTCCACGGCAGACAGGATCTGTCGGGTGTACCGCCGCACCTCCCTCTCCTCCAGCCTCTTCCTCTCACAGATCCTGTCCATCAGGTCTCCTCCTGCACACAGCTCCATCACCATGTAGTAACTATTCTCTGTCTCCAGAGTCTGACACACAGTTTTCACACACACAAACACACACACAGGTGATTTTACAACCTATTCACCAGCAGCAGACGTACAACACCATAACACTCCTGTTAAAGTATACATCCAAACATGTTGGCAATTGAATTAAAACTGAGGAGAGCTAATGTTCTGCTCAGTAGTTTTACCTCCAGAAGAACAACAATGTGAGGATGTCGGACCATCTGATGAATTCGAGGTTCCCTTTTCATGTTTTTTAGCACGTAGGAGTCTTGGTGAGCTTTTTTCTTGTCTATCACTTTAATGGCTACCTGAAAGCACACAGAAACAAACTGAACTAACTCTGAATGGTTAATAAGGTGGGAAAGTATTCAGAATCAACCCAACTGTGAACACTGTTACTGGGAGCACTGTTACTGGGGTCACTGGGTCAGAAAACACTGAAGGGAATTTTGTAAAGGATTAACTGAACGTTAGATCCAGTGTTGTGTTTCATACTTTCTGATCATTGCAGCAATAAGGTTTAATTAAAACAGAGAATGAGAGTTGGTGTGTTAGCGTGTGTTCTTCCTGTAGCATAAAAGTTACCACCTTCAGTGGTGTAACCAGGAAGAGACATTTGTTATAAGGCTGATAAGGAGGTTCTTTTAGAAGTGTTTTAGAAAATTAGAGTTGTGCAGAAAGTCTCTGTTTAGATTCAGCCTGGAACAGACTGGGTTGTTTTGGTTTCCTGATAGGAGCTCGAGACTTTTGACTCCGATGCCTGTGCTGTTTACAAATGTATGGAGCTGATTGGAGTCCGATGAGAATAAAGATATTTAAAGATATCCAAGTGGGTTTCTGCTATAATTCCGACCTCCATTTTTGAACGACGCTGATCTCTACATCATGAGATTTTCATTTTTGATTTCATAAAATGAAACAAACCCTTTGAAAAATGATCTGAAGTAAGACTTGTTGAATGTGTGGTTAGTTATTCTGAGTGAAAACACTTTCCACACCTGGTTTAAGTTTCTATTTTTTCTTATTACAGATGTTAACAACAGCTCAACCAACCAACTGAGGTGAGTGAGTACMCAAAAAGTTTACTCAAATAAAAGCGGCACTACTCCAGTATTTTTACTCAAGTAAAATTAAAAAGTAGCAACCAAGAAGTGACTCAAGTAAGAGTAAAATAGTATTTGGTAAAAAGGCTACTCAGGTACTGAGTAACTGATCAACTGATTCATTTAATATTTAAAAATTACATAATCAGATGGACCAAAATATAAAGCTATGTGGAAATTTTGGTATTTTAAAGACCAAAATGAAAATAATTCATATAAATAACATAATTACAAAAT